TGGAGTGAGAACAAATAGAAAAGCAATAGTAAGCTGTTCAACCAGAAACAAATAGTAGCAACTTCAGCTCTCTACTAGTACTCTACAAGACACATGACTGCAGAGATGAACTCTGAGAAGGGTCTGAAAAAGGCACAGGCTTCTCCCACTCACTTGTAAAGAACATCATGGGTGAAAGCACAGAAAAGCTTGCTGAGGGAAGTTTGAACCCGTTGTGTACATGTTCCCCCAGAAGCAGTACATAAAAAATACTAGCTTTAAGATGATGCTGTATACTATGATAAGCGCATTTTTTTGGCACTGAATAAAGGGAAAAAGGCCTAGTATTGTGCCTCTGCCTATAGACATTGTTTCTCAGCAACACTGAACAAGTTAATGGGATATATCAGAGTACTTCAACAAAAGGTGCCCAATTACCTTTCAGGATGTTCTCATGCCCTTTTGCCAGCTGATTATATGTAGAGTCTTCCCTTACATGCAAAGGGATTGCTCTGATGGCATCATTTCCTTTTTTTCATGCATTCAGTTTTTTTCTTTTTATTACAGCTACACAATAGAAAAACAAACAGCAGGAAAGGATGTAACTGCAGACTAAGGTGACACTTGGTTGACCCTGGGATACAAGCGGACTTGTCTTGTCACATTCACAAAGAACAAAATCTTGCAGCCCTATCACACGGAACCCAACCACAGGCAACAGTTTCATTGAAATTCAACGTGAACTTTTTGCCATAAAGAAATAATAATTAAGAAAAAAGCCAGTAGTCTACGAAGTTATCTCATCACAAACATTTTTGGTGAGCATTTCAGTCAATTAATTATCTACATGTTTAAATTGAGTCTCTTCTTTCTTCATTCACGAATGCAAAGAGAATTTGAATGATAGCATCGTCTTGCTACTGGTCCTATTTATACAGTCAAGTACTGGAATAGCGTACTGAGAGATAAATCAGTTTAGATCTTTAAGATAAGTTTCGAGAAAAATCTTGAAGTTACAAAGATTTAATTAATCTAAGGGAAGATTAACAATTTTCCTCTTGTTCTCTCCTTACAGAGGTCTCTGGAATAGATTAACTCTAGAAAATCCTTTATTTCAAACAATACAGAAGGTGAAGAAAAAAGATGACACTTAGCTCTACAGATGGTCATTGTGATCAAATCTTCTCTTGCATACATAAAGAGCTTTCTAGAAAAATGACTCATCTTATTTCAGAGTACCATGGCCCTCAGCAGTGGATCTGATCTGAATTACTATTCATTAAAAAATACCCCCCTGCCAAAACAAACCACAAACCCAAAGAAAGCAACAGACATACCACCCCAGAGTGAACAAAAAAAAGGAATGTATCATATAAAAGCAGCAGCATTTTCAAATTTTGAAGTGATAATAGTTATCAGAAGCTTTAAGTAAATCCTACTTTTAACCTGTCGAATTATAAATAATATTAAAAAAAAAAAAACATTTGAAACTCTGAAAGAAGATCTGATGTAAACCAAAAACTTTTTTCACTTGATGTGCTGTAAAATGCAAATTTCAAAACGCACCACAGCATGAAACCAGCAGCCAACAGAAATCAGGTGGTTATATAATTTGGTGGTTAAGCAAAGATATTTTTAGTGCTTTGCTAATCCATCTAATGCATTTCTTTCCAACAGAAGAAAATGCATTACGCTGATAGCAATAACAGGTCAAAACATGGCGATATTGACAAGGAATTTACACTTGCTAGAAAATAAAAAAGTATCTGAAATTATTCTTAATGGTATCCATTCCTAAGCAAGGCTTATCAGTGATTGGGAATGGGTGACATACATAAATAACTGAACAGAAGAGCTAAAACAAAGAAAGAAAACTTTCACAGGAACACTTCAAACAGCAATCTCATAATGCAACACAAGATGGTGACACCTCAAGATAATCAAGCAAATAGAAAATTACATGTGTTGGCAATTACTGAGTGGCATATCAAGTTTATGCTACATGGAAATCCTGAAGCAACTTCTACTTTTTCTGAAAAAAACCCAGTACTTTTTGGAGAAAAGACAGTAAAGCAATCCTAAAGAGATACTAATATAATTTCTTAATAGCTCTAAAATTCAAGACTTCCATTTTTTTCTCTCAGCTCCTTTTTACTACACTGTTGCTGCATTAATGTCAAATGCTTATTATATTAAGTAATAAATTCTTGATAGAATATTTAAAATCTTTTGCAGAAAAATATGACTCTGAAAACTAAGAAACGGTGGGTTTACAATGCTTACTATGATATTAACAGAATTGTGCTATTCGTTTCCCCTTAAATTCTACTTCATATTCATCTCGGAAGGAACAAAACATGTAAACTGAAAGGACGGGGATAGGAGGGGCAAAGCACACCAAAAAAACTTTTCTAAACAGTAAATATTCTTGAAAAAAATAACCAGAGTTAAAACACTCCATACTGTAATCTGAAACAAAATACAGTGGGCTTAACTGTTAAAAGGTTTTCTTTGATCTACTCCAAAGTTTCATTTATTAATAGATGGAAATGTCCGAGTTGTGTACAAAATGCTTGTTTCCTCAGCTGACTTGCACCTAAGCAAGTTCAATTTCCGTCTCCCTTGAAACTTTTACTTGCAACGTGAGACAATTCAGTGCCAATGAACAGAGGAAGAGATCAGAACATCTCGAACGTGAGAGTTAGTTTTACTAAGGAAAACACAATAAACGGTTTCAGGGTCAGACAGATGATATCAAATGGTTTTAAGTTTAAGTGAGTGTATAAAAGCAGATAATCCAAGAGGAAATTGTCACTAATTCTGCAAAGTGAATTTCTATGGAGAACCAGAACTATTTTCTTGAATGGATTAAGCAATGCTACGTTATACTCCAATATGCATTTTCATGTACTGGCAAATTCATTCTCTTTTTTAGAGAAAAGTATCTTTTTAAGTATCAGATTAGATGTACGGAAAGCAGAACAGAATTCCTTAAACTGTCAGGGGCCTTGAATGAACAAGCAACCAAGGTTTCTGAAGATAGTTTAAGCTGACTTTTCTCAGCCTGGCCTATGAAGACTCAGTCAGGATGTTCTTTGAACATTTTGTCAACCAAAAATACCGGCATTATTACAAACAGCTGATTAAATATATTGCGAAATAGCAAATAAATGGAAGGACTTTTGCTGTGAGGAAGCCAGCTCACAGGTTTCACCAGACCAACGCTTGTATGACCCCTACTCAAACACCAGGGCACAACTCAGCGTTTCTGAGGACTTTTTTTATACTGGTCCAAAGTTCAGTAGTGTTCTATATCGAAAGGATTCTGGTCTGGCTTTATCCTTTCTGGAAACAGCAAAAATCTAGGTGTACAACAAAGTGTCAGAGATTTCTGATAGCTTACCTATCTGTACTGTATTCCGAGATTCTTGAAAGAGACATCAGCTCTTTCACACTGTCCACTCACCACTAAGGTTCATGGCCATTGTTCATCATGTTACGCAGGGACTATATCTGTCAGCACTTAACTCACAACTTAACTATTATACAGAGCTCAAGACCACTTTTACAGCTTTTTAATCATCGTTAAGGGCAAGGTGCAGATGAATTCAAATCAAATATCCATTACATCTCAAAGTTGGAACTTATGAGTGAATTGTTAAAAGCCATTGAGAACATATTCTGAAGAACTAAAATTTGAAGAAAACATCAAATCAAATTTAGGACAAACTCCTTGGTGAACTTATTCAGAACCATCCTTTTAATTAATTGCTCTCTGCATTCATTGTCCAGAGACCCAGCGAAGCTAAAAGCTAAATGCTATCCACTTTTCTAATCCTTCTGCTAAAAAAGGTTTATCGCAGGAGCTCCACTAGGCAGTTTTTCCATCAGAAATGCATCACATCTGTGCATATCACAGATATGGACTTTGACATGAAAATGCTCAGTGTCTTTTCTTCATAACAAGTAGTAATATAGCAAATTATAATTTTATAAAATTTAATTATGAACAAGTAATATGCCTAGATTTTTTTCAGGTGATCTAAATTTTGAGCATACAAAATATACACAGATTTTTATTTGCCCCACTTCAGTCTTTAAACAAAACCTGTTTCTCTGCATTAGAAAAAACCCAGACTCTTCACTGATGTGGCATACCCTAACAAACATCGCTTGGGATTGTAAAACATCCAGTATGAGTTTTTTCTGATAATTCATTACGAATTGAAAATATAAATCAATCAGTATTCCTACTTGTACACTGCACCATTAAGAAACTCCGAATGCCTGGCAACATTAGACCTCCCAATATGAATTATTTTTGAACAAGGAATTTAGCCACCATGAGAAGGGAAAGCCTCTTCACTGGAAACGATCAACTATTACTTCAACAGACCTGTACAAATCAAACATCTCTGAATATCAGAAAAACTCACCACCTTATATCGTCTGTTGAGATTTATAGAACTGACAAAAGCCATTCCCACCTTTGTTGCTAATCCGTAATTTCCAGAAGCATACTGTTCTCTGAAGCACAAAACAATGCTGTGAATGGTAATACATTTACAAACATTCCAGAATGTGCGTAATTACTGGATTTTTACTAAAACTGAAATGAAGCCCTTGGTCAAGATATGTTAAGGTAAAAGCAGGACTCCAGACAGTAGACATAAGAAAAAGACACCTAAATGCTTAAGGTGGTTTACCACTGCACCTGCACAAAGCATTCTGACAGCTGGCATCTATTGACTCACACTTTAAACTTTTGGTTCCCTTATTATTCCTGAAATACATTTTGTATCTTACTGCTTGGCAATATGTTCTTTGTCTTCAAGATATTCCTAAGATGCTTATACAATTGACATCATAAATTCCTGTAAGTGATGGAGCTTAAAAAGTGAACTTGGGCTGAATACACACACAGAGCCAGTTCCTATGAAGTTGCTTCAGCTTAGTCATAACTTAGTCATAACTAAGACTTATTGGTGTTATTTCTTTTCCCTGTGGAAGTCAAGTTTCACCTCAACAGTGAAAATCTTTGTGTCTGGCTTGTTTCCACGTTTGGACTTTAAGTCATTTTGCACAGCAGCAAGACTGACATAATCCAACACGTCTATTTCTGAACTGGTCTAAAAATTCAGAGAAAGAAAAATCTTGTAAAAGCAGCAGCAAAATGACCTCTCCCTCATCTTATATATGCCAGTAAACTGAGGCAAGCACAAAGTGGAGGTGCTGCATTATAGCTGTAAGGTAATTAACAGCAGCCTACAAGATTCAGAGTGGTAAGAGAAAAGAGAAATATATGCCATTCTTCTTAAACTCCTAGAACAAAAGAGCTGAGAACTCTCATTTAACTGATTTCATATTAGCCAGATGCTAATAAGGAAATTTCTGGCTTTCAAGTACAAAACAGTAGTACCATCTTTTCCCATCAATCCCTGCTTTTAATGTAGTAGGACCAAAGTGTAGCATTCCTCACCAAAAACTCTTTGGAAACTAAGAGAAGAAACGTTTAAGTGAATAAAAAATTAGTTCAGCAACAGAATATAATGGGATAGATTAACTGATTGTTTTTCCCAACTGAGAAGGTCACCACTGGATATCCACAGGGCTCAGGGCTGAGAACCCAAGACGTTCATAAATGTTGGGGAAACTGTGTGAACAGCTAAGTGGCAGAACTTGTGAACATCAGTGTTACAGAAGAAAAGTCTGAGGGACAACTGCAAGAAAGGGCTGCACAAAACTCACTGATCATTCTCAAATGGCAAATGAAGTTCAATTTAAGCGCAAGAATGATACGCAAGGTAGAACAACCCTAACTTCATACATAAAGTAAGTGGCTTTGAGGTGACCTCGGGAAGAAGCTCTTGGGAGACTACATCTATATAGCAGAAATGGGAAAACATCTAAAGAGGTCAACAATAATAATCAGTAGGTTGTTGCTGATGTTAAACATTTACATTGGTTCAAGGGGACACAAGCTCATGAGGAGATATCTACTCCTGGACACTAGCCACAAAGACTTGTGCCTCTGCCTCCCCCAACGAGAGCAGAGAACTACCGAAAAACGAAGAAGCAGAAAACATAACAATGTACAAACAGAGCAGCAATAAAAGAGGAAAATAATAGTGAGGTAGGCAGAAGAAAGCAAATCAGTGTATGAAAATATGTTCCAATGTCTATTAGATATATAAAATAGAAAAATGTATTAATTGCCAGAAAAAAGAAGTCATAACACCTATCACTGATCAATTAGTATTCAAACAAACAGCATTACTCATTGAACTACACCAGTTTTCAAAAAATTAATTAATTATTATTTGGGAAATATACAATCAGATCAACATAGAGGGCATTAACTAAATCATTTAAATGACTATTTTTCTGCTGTAGTTGTTCACTGGAAAACATCCTGCTCTGTACAAGACTGATCAACAATGTTATAGTTCAATGACAGCATGTTTTCTTATTTCTTTGAAGAAAGAACTTGGGAAGGTTCTGTATTCATTGGCTTCATCTTTGACCAAAACATCAAGTAAATTACTCAAACTCTGACTAGTACTACTAGCCATAGGTATGTCGTTGTACTAAATACAGTAGAAATATAAAATATCTTTTTGGTTTTGAGAATATTTTTACAGCAATCAATAACATAAGTCTAATGGCTTTACACAATGGTTCATATGTGACTAACCAGTACAAATGATCCAGATTTTGTTTTTGAAATGGAGATTTATTTCCATCACAGAAACACTCCTGAAAGTCAGTAGAGACAGATGCTGTTTGCAGCTTAGCTTTTGAACAATTGTTGTAATACAGATCAAAACTGAGATGCTTTGTAAAAACTAAGGCAAGAATCTGAATAACAGCTCATCTTCTTTGGCTGCAAAAAAAAATATTAGTCTTTTGCTAGTGTACCTCAGTATCATTAAAACACACACACAAAAAAAAAAAAGCATTAGTGTTTTCACATACATTTGCTGGGCTGCCACTGTAAAGATTCTTTCAGCTCCTAAATTAAGTCTTCCGGAAACTTGGCAAAAAATCCTTACCCATCTGAACAAAGAAACATTTCAAAGAGGTTTGTATATTAAAAAAAGATTTTCTTAGATGGTTATTTTAAAAGCAGTGGTGCAGTGTTGGTTCATTTCTGTTTTGAAAGCAGACAATATTTCCAATCTTTATTAGCAATCTCCTGATTTTAAATAAGTTAGAAAAGCAACTCTGGGGTAACAATTCTATGTCTAATACAAACACAAAGTAAGATTGGCTATACTCCAGAACTGCCTTTTTTTTTTTTTAAATATATCCTTACTCAGACTTATGGCTATAGGTAGGTGTATTTGGATATAGGTAATTTGATCAAAAAGTTAAATACTTGAGGCTTTCCAGCTGAGGGATAGTACAGGAGTAATTTTGCATATTTTCAGCCATGTAATCTTACTGCATTAAATACTGAGAAAAGAAATCAAATCTGTGTAGCGATGTTTATACAATTTGTATATTTCAAACAGATGTATTATTCATTCCTCAGCAAATAACAGAGGAACAGTCCAAGCCTATATTCTTTTACCAACGAGTTGTTTGCGAAATCTGAGTGAAAACGTACTGCACTGAAGTTAGTGGTATAACTCCCACAGGATTCAAGGAACATATGGTTTCCTCTAAAGAATGCAGAATTAACATTAAAATTACTATCCCTAGTAGCTCAAGACTTATTTTAAGTTTTACCACAGCATTTTATTTGTTATCTTCAGACAGACTATGTAGTAAAATGATTAAAACTGATTTTGTTTTGAACTTAAGGCAGCTCTTTGTACTAAGGCAAGCAGTCTTATATAAATACCTTTGGTATTTGTTGGATCCTATTCCTAAACACAATGTTCATATTTCAGCTATAATAAGCAAAGCATCTCAAAGATGTGTGAGGCACTAGTCTTGCAAGTGTCCAGTTTAGTTTCTTGAGTAAAGTGAGATTGGCAGAGTCAGTTAAATCCATCATGGAAAGCTGTGTGCGGTGCACATAATTCAGTGCCGTTTGGAATGATTGGCAGCTGCCATCTAGTGCGGACACAAACTATACTCCCACATGCATATAATTCCAGCTCTCCCTGGAAACCACAGTTTGCTCAGGTCAAGCCGGGAGCGCTGGTCACACAAGGCAAGGAGCGCAACAAAGGAACTGGCTACTAAACCATGTAGTATTCCTTCCTGACGGTGCCACACGCTTCGCATAAACCCACCACACACGCAGCACAGCATACCGAGGCTTACTCTGAATTAAGGTTAGGAAAAATATAAGCGCTGGTTTCTCACGTAACGGCTGTCGTGCGAACACCAGCGCTCTGGGGCGGACAACCGAGCTGCGCCGTTCAGAAGCAGGTGCTGCCCAGTGACTCGAAGCCAACGCTGAGCGCCCAGGCCCAGGCTGGGGCAGCGCCAGGCCAGGCCTCGGGGTAAATCGGAGCTCTCCGAACCATCCTCAGCGAGGAACATTACACAAGCCAGCTGCTGGCTCCGGGAGGCCACTACGACAGCGAGGGAGAGCAGGGACCCAAGAAAGTCCAGGCTGTGGCAGCGGGCTCGCTCCCGAACGAAATCAAAATTGTTATCCTGGATCTCTGCTACCAAGTCAACCCTCCTGCGGCCCCTCCAGCAACTCGAGGCGCCTTCGCAGCCGCACGGAACAAAGCAGGCTGCTCACGGCACGGAATCACGACCAGAGTTTTGGCAGTTTCTATTAAAAAATAAAGGCTGAAACTAAGCCATAGCATCTGTGGACCTGGACACAAACATGTTAAAAATAAAATTGAGCTGTCTAAAAAAGCTACTCTGAAAAAGACATCGCTGCAGAAAAGACACCACTTAATCCCCCTTCAGCGCTCCCCTAAAAAGGTCTTCCTGACTACAGGCTTGCTACTCACTGCTCTCTGGGCACAGAGAGCTAATTAACAAGGAGGAACTGCTCCGTGGTATTAGTTGCAAGATATTAATTTTACTGTTATCTTGATCTGGGGTCCTTTCACAGTCCTTTGCCAGTTTCTTTCCGTTTGTTGGGCGCTGCCATTTTCCCAGACTGCAAGGTCTCTCGGCAGGGGAATTTGTTTGTGCTGCGCCCAACACAAAGGCACCATTATCCTTCACCAAACCTCAGGTGATCATGTAATGAAAACCTATTCCAATATTGCTTTTAAGGTGGTCAGAAGTTCTAACAGCATGTTATGACAGTACACCTTACTTAAAACTCACAACTTCGGAGTAATTAAAAGTATTTAGCTTCTGTGGAAAAGAGAATAAAAAAGAAGATACAATTCTTTAACCTGCTTGTTTTATGACCTGACAGATCAATGGAGTATATGGAAAATATCAACAAGGAAACATTTTTTCTTTTGATATCTTTCTCCCTTTCCCTCCACACACTATCTTCTGATTCATATTTCTCACTCTTACTGTACTTTTACCTTGTCCCTCTGCGTCCCTGAAAAGTTTCTTTCCTCAGAGAGTCAACACTTAAAGGAGAATTTCTAGTGGAGCATTAGCTAGAAAAAATCCAAAGGGAGGAAAAAAAAAAGGCCTAGCTCTGAGAGCTCAATTCTGAACCCTTAATATTGACTTTTCTAGAAAGAATCTGGTATATAAGGGTTTTGTGTAAACAAACATCATTCCTTCTGCTTCCAGTGCTACATATTTAGTTACAGGACTGACACATTTAGAAACAACCAGTGATACTGAGTATTAGAAGGTAAGTTTATGTTCAAACTCTGAATATTAATTCCCCAAATGTTACAGTTTATACCATCATAAGTACTGATGAAGGCAAAGTTAATGTAATACACTAAAAAGCTCCTCGAATGAGAACTTAAGTGATTTTCATACTAGGAAAGAAGTGCTCTAATATAATTCCAGTTCATATTGAACTGCAGAGGGATATCTCCTTTGAGTAAAACACATGACAGTGATGAAGAGGAAGTTCAAAATCCCTACAGTGAGAATTATTTGATATTGTCAAAACAAGCTTCTATTTGACTTTTGGTTGAGTGGACATTTGGGGCTTTTTAACATCTTCCAAAGGGCTCTTCCAAATTTACATCTTCTAGCATTTGAAGCATTTCACATGTGCTTGAAATAACATAGAAAAGAATTTATTAAAAATTTCTGGAAGGCAGCTTTTCCTTTTAGACACCAAGCCCCAAAAAAGGCATACAGAGTAAACGTGACTGCTTTTAGCACAAACGGGTTAAAGATGAATTTGACCTAATTACTGCCTATAATAATGATTAAAAAAAAAACCCTTTTAATATTTTAAAAGGGAAAAATATTGAACATACTTCTGAAATTCCTCAAATTCTGGGATTTTTACATTTACACCTTACTATTTTGTCTTAAATATAGCTAGTAAAACTGTAATACATAATCAAGACTGCTAAGCTTCGCTATCATTTTAAAAGCATTTTTATTCATTGCCAATTTATAATCTGTTCTGGATACAGATCTCTGTAGCAGAGGCTGGTAACTATTTCCCTGATACAGCAGCTTTCTATATATCACACAATTTTGTGATCTGATATTTTTTTGAGAAATGCTGGTATTACATCTAAACCACCTCAGTACAAATGGCTCAAAAACCCAAAGGCTCAGTGAGGAGAGCCAATGCAAATTCAGGCTCAGAGAAGAAACATTTAACCCAACTTTCAGGTTTTTCTTTGTACACCAAACTGCCATGATAGATAAAAGAAGAGTATTATTAAGGAGGACTTTTAGACATAAAAAGACATCAGGAATATAAAGCAAAACAGTGGTTGGTCTTGTTGATGACTGTGTGGACATCTGTCACAGGTCAAACTACCAGCCAAACCTGTCACGTCCAGCAGGGAACTATGAAGAGGAGTGTGGTCTGCTTTCATTTGGCTGAGCAAACATTTTGGGAATAAACAATACAGGAAGAATAGCATACAATTCAAAGTTATGTTGAAAAGGAAGGTATCTGACTGAGAGTCAAGGTCTCTAGCTCTTTGGAATGGAAACCTGGACATTCAATCGTTTTTGGGGTGAGAAAAGGTCTATCTGGAGAGTTCTTCCACTAATGGAATGGACACCTACAGCAAGCACGCGTTGCTGGTGACATCTGCCAGGCCTGAAACACAGAAGGTTTTACAGACCAGCGTGCGGTGAGGTTATGTCACATGGGCAGAACCACCTTTGTATTACACGTTACAGGAATGAAAAAAGGCACTCCTCCTGGATTTTTTTGTGTAGTCACGATCATTAGGAAACAGACAAGACCATCATCCTCAAATTCATCTAAGACATTGCAGGAATAGTAAATTACCAGTGTATCAGGCTGGTAAAAAAACAGTCACAAAACAATACTGGCCCTCAAGTTTCAGTGGGACAGGAGCAAGTTCTCTCATCCTGAAACCATACCACTCCCGTCAGCTTAGAATTTAGCAACTGTCCAAAGTGGAAGTTTCTTCAATGCTCTTCTGGAATCTCTTCCAGATGATCTGGCTCTTAGACAGTCAGTGCTACTGACTCTGCCAGTATGACAGTCCCTTAGTTCTCATAATGCCATGGCCTTGCTCCCACTGGTTGATACTAAAGACAGTTCTGAAAACTTGAGAGATGGGAAGGGTCGTGCCATCCTTACTAGGTGAGTCCAACACGTTAATGTAATCTTTATGCCTGATGTTGCCTGACTAGGTGTCAGGTCTCTTTGCCTTTGACTCAGTGCCAGCAGTACAGTTAGTGCAAAGGCTACTAAAAGAGAGGAAACCTGAATCTGCAGTCTTGCTATTCATACTGGTAGTCACAGGACTGTTTGAGAGTGATTCTCAGCTGAAAAAACAAAGGAATAGCCCATGGTCACAGCTGCACTACAACTGATGCCTTCTGTTGTTCCACTTTCAAAAACATCTTTTCAAGAAATAAACATTGTTCTCATAGACTGTTCCAAAAGAAGCAATTCCAACTCTGTTCTTCACCTAAAATTGAAGGGAAGGAACAGCAAACAAAACACTTCAGAGACATATCCCTTCTTAAAGAGGAAGTGCATACACTGTGCCTTGTAACCTAATGGTCTCAGACTACAGCTTTTTAATAGCTTTATATGGACTCAAAGGCGTGACTTCCCCTATCCACATATCCCATCACCTCAATTTCTTCAGAACTAGGGCTGATGTACTGACAGAACATGAATACGATCCAGTAATTTCTTAAAGTTAGCTATTACTGCTCTGCTTTGCTAATGTGATATGCTGTCATATAATGCCTTACATATATTTATAGAAGTAATTGAGCATATGCTACCTGCTAGTTACTTAGGTGACCAGCACTCAGAAAGGTTCTTTAACAGTACGCTAACTTCTTCATGTTTGTGTCTCAACTAGATTTCACTATGAGCCATCCACATATTCAAGCTGTCCCACTATACAGTTGTCGGTCTTTGTATTCTTGACGACTGTCAGAAAAAGGATAGTCACTGAGCACACACTACTGACCACACTAAATCAGGAATCAGTTGTTCAGCTCTAAGTGTAATGTGACATCCTCTTTCTAAAATAGCACGAAGATTTTCTTTCATGCACATTTCTGGACTCTTTTTTTGGTCCACAGCATATTTCAAGAAGAGCCTGCCTGAGGAAACAAACTAAAACCAACAACAGAGAAACTGCCACAGAAACTTATTGGAAGGCGTTAAAAATTAAATACCTTTTTAAAGAGCTCTTAGACTTAATAGTAAAACCTATCAAAATTGTCTATACTGATTTAATTTGTAACAATTCCATCTCAGACAACTTTGCTTGGTTGTTGGTTAGGAGTTCAAAGTGAAAATGACATTTTTTCCCCACTACTAATACCCACACACTTCTCCCATCTCAAACACTTGGCAGGAGGGTGGGGAGAAAACAGTCACCACTATTTGAAGTGGTGGTCATAAGATCCAGACAAATTCAGACTGCAGGAGAAGCATGCTCCAAAATGAGAGAGCCCTCATACAGACCTCTTTTGGCAGATACTGTCCTGGCAACTAAATCAACAACCTCTAAGCACAGGAGCCTCGATCATTGTTCTTACACTGTTCATACCAGTCTCTCAGACAAACACATGCATCTTAAGATGCTCAATGTCAAACAGGCAACTACAGTGAGGCTCAGATGCTACCCAAAAAATCATCAACACAATAAGCATAACTGGAGCATGCTTACAGGAAGATATTCAATCTTCACCTCACCCCAAATCATTCTCTACATTTCCTCACTAGTTTTATTTTCTAAACAGGTTTAAAGGCATAATGCAGCAGCTCTTGAGTGAAAGCAGAAATGTATGAGCAGTGGAAATTTACTTTCACAGAATATTATGGAACATATACGAACATCTTTACTCAAATGAGTTAAATGCCAAGTTTCAGATGTGTAATGTCACTAAAGTCAATGGAGTTACACATGTGAAACTGAAAGGTAAGCAAGTACTAGAGACAACATTTACACCCTTGCACTTTTGAGCATTTTGTCAACAATAAGAGCACACATATTGTAACACATTTTTGTTTCTGAAAATTCAATGATGAACAAATATATTTTGCAATAACATACCTTGAAGTTGCAATTTCCACTTTGGTTCTTGCCATGGCAGCTGCTCTCTGTGCACCCTCTATTGCTCTATCCACCTTTTCTCTAGTTTTTGTGTTTCGTATTGGTATAAGTTGCTTTCTTATTCCACGGACCAAAACATTATTTTTATATTTTCCCTCTTCTTTGGTGCCATCTGGAAACATGGTACATCCATATCCATGCCTCCTGTTATTTAGCCATTCTCCTTCATATTTCATACCATTTGAACGCTCACTAATACCAAAACCACTGCGCTTGTCATTCTTCCATTCACCCATATAGGTTTCTGTAGTGGTGGCATCAACATGGTCTTCCACAGGGCAATAATCACAGTCACCGTCTCCAAAACTAATTGTAGAGTTGGCATCGCTAGAACTAATTCTGCTCATAGCAGCGTCACTCCTGACAGAGCTCCGTTTGCTAGATATCGATGACCTAGATTCAGATTTCCTAAGTTTTATACTACCAAGAAGGGATCCTCTTCTGAATAAGCCTCCTTTTTTCTTAATGCCCATGGCTTCTGGATCACTGTGAAAATTGAGCACAAACCCTCCTCTTGTTCCAGCCGGACTGTCTGAAGTGACGTCGTGCAGAACAGTGCCGTTGCTCTGCTCACTTCGAAGTGAAGCTAGAGATGTTCGGAGGGGTGAACGGATCACAGTTGCCATGCCATAGGGTACACTCTGACGTACACCATATCCATGCCGCATCCCTCCTGTCCATTGCCCCTGGTATGTACCTTTTAAAGTAATCAGGAGAAATTAAATTTAGGAAGCTGTAGAAGACCTAATACTCTACATCCAGTACGCTACAGGCAATACTATGTTGTCAGCTCTGGTTTTGGTGAGAAATGCAGAAAAATCACAGCACGTGACACAGTAGATAAACTACTTTTGTTGCTTTTCTTATAAATTATTATTCTGCTTAACAAAGCCTTCGGTTTCCCAGCTGAAGCAATTTATTTTGGCAACTAAGACACAGTAGCTATAATCACAAGCATTTTTTGAATGGATCTGTCCATGGAAAAATTTTCAAGAGAAATTTCTAAAGCAGGGCTCCCTCAATGTTTTTTTTAGGTCATCAGCAGAAGCAGAGCTGTATTATATGCAGTCAGCTGGGGAGGGAGACAGGGATGGAGGGAAGGGAGGGAGCAGGACACTCACGGCTCTTGCCTCCAGCTGCTCACAGAAAAAGCAAGTAGGAGTAGTAAACATCCTGTTATCCTGGGTTTAAGGTGACTACAGACCTCTCCTTGTCAGGACATATTAGACAATCCACTAAATTGTCTTGTCTTCAGATGGGCCTTTGGATCCATTGTTATAAACCTCTATTGTAAAATTAAATATTTTAAAGTTTTTGCACGTACTTGAATGGAAGAACAAAACCTCGGTATATCTTACTCTTTATGAACTCTTGATATCAACACTTTTTGTGTACCCGCACTACTGTAAACATGGCACTGCATTCTGCATTATGTTGTGACAGAAAGATCAGAAACATGAATCCTTTAGGACTTTTTTTGCCTTTCATTTGTTCTGCAGTATGTAAGAAAGACAAGACAGTAATAAACAGAATATTGCACACCATTCTATCAGAAACACATTTCATTGTTGCATTCATAACTATTTTTGTCATTTTTTTTAAACAGCAATATAAGGAAGAGCAACATGGTATTTGATATAAGAAGTCATGGATATCCATGTAACGGAGTACATGCAAAGCTGCATCTGAGCCAAAACCCAGCATTATCAGATTACTACTGCAGACAATTTTTTTTCTTGTATTCTCGAAAGGCATTTTCAGTTTGATGAGATACATACTCCAGTGTCTGGTCTCTGAAAGCTATTTGTACCAGATGTTCCAAAGAAGGGTGCCAGGAACCCCACAACTGGCAAATCCAAGATAATTTGCTTTCTAAGATCATTTCACTCTAACTCCCATTAAATTACTTTAAGCTCCTCAAAATGAAGTCTCTCACCCACCTAGCACTGCTGCTTTTTTTTTTTTAGAAAGCTATTTTGAGTCTGAATATTCTTACAGAAGGATGAATAAGCGATCTTTAAAATATCTTTCTCTGATTTTGATCTGCTTTAATTGGAGCACCTATTAAAAACTATTTTTCAGAGAACTAAATATCAAATGTCAAAGTCAGTGATTGACTAAATTTTTGTGAAAATATTTGTGAAATACCTGCAGTTTTAGATGTAGCTCAAAGCTTCACTTGCTTTGAGATTCAATTTCCTTTGTACATAAGCATATTATTTTGGTCATGTGCATGTCAATTATATATTAATTACTGCTTTACTGTACTACCTTTTCTGCTAAGTTATATTTCAATGTTAATAGGCAAATAAATTTGCCAAGTGTGCCTTCTTTATTGTATAATACTAGATAGGTTCCATAACATAATAATTTTGTGTTGGTAGAAAATTCTACCAAGTGGAAGGTTTTTGTTTTAACAGATGGCTGCTGACACAAACAAACAACTTTCTTAGTTTCTTATTCTCTGTATCCTGGATACCTACTGCTGCACTGGTTGTAAGGGTGCTGAATCTAGAAACATGATTATTTTAAAAAACTCAGCATATGGAGAAGAACAAATAGAAACATGAGCACAAAGCATTGGTATGACGTATTCTGTAAATACTGCAAAAATACAGCCACATTTTTTCATTTTTTTCTTTATTAAACAGACACTTCCCAGAAATATATTAATATTTTATGAGCATAAATGACTACATTTTGTCCATAACTCTATCTGCGATCCACCTAGTATCGTAATGATATGCTAGAGCTGAAAATCTGGCTACATATACTTACTGCTGCATATAACAATCTGTCTAACATTCTGCACCAGTTAATTTCATTTAAAAAATAATAAATCTAATTCTGATTTTGATTATACCACAATATTACATTACAGCAGCAACTCATAATTATGGCTCTCCATGTTGCTATTTGAGTGTCAGACTCGAAGTAGAATCAACTTATTTCAGTATGGAATTTTGTAAAGGTACAAAAGGTCAGTCTTTTTTCTTACTAAGATTTTGTTCTAATTAATAAACATGCAAAGCTCAAAAATACTTAATTCTTTTAGGACTTGTATTTTTCACTACTCTGTAGAAAGAAGTGGAAGTAGTCGCTGTTGCCCATAACAGCATTAAAACAAGGACAACTGATGTGCTAATTTACTTGTCTGATTTTTCTTTCTACTGGGGAAATAAAATCAGTGCCAGCTTCTTCCAAAGAGAAAAGAGTCAATGACAAAATGGAAGATTCATACTGAATTGGTCCTTAGAAAGTACCAAAGATATTTAGTTGGAATTTTGTGCAGTCTTGCAGGTTACAACTATCTGTTCTGTCATTACAAATCCATTAAGGGAAAGGCTTCTGACACTAGTGCTAGAGAGCTGACTTATTTTCCTCAATTTTTTCAACTTACATTTTAAAGGAAAAACATTTTAATGGCATATGGAGGACAATGTCCAGAGCGCAGATACAAGAGACTTGTACAGTAATTTGATTGACGATATCAGACTTTAACTGTATCATCTTCTTCAACAGAAGAAATTTTAGAAAACTTTAAATGCACAAGGTATGTTAATATTGCAATATAATTAAATATTATAGCATATAAGACATGATAAAAAGCTTTTCCCATATATGAAGATATAAACATATGCAATGTTTACCTCTCTATACAGTTATAAATGTGAATGATATATCAACAAACACACCTTTTCCTGTTTCACCTTACACTATAATTGACTGTTCAAAGCAGTTCCAGTAAGTGTCAACTGTTAAAATTTTAATTAACAATGTAATTACCAGGCTAATTTAAAACTGTGTTTGACCATAAAACAATAACTTTGTTCAGCATTAATTTTCCAAAAGCTAGGCTTGGTATCCTTTGTAACTGAAGAAACATTCAGCCATGGCTTCTACTGACCATCCATTTGGTGTTTAATTGGTTCCCCCGAAAAGGTGTTCGTATTTTGAGCCTGAGAGCTATTAGAAAGTGTATTTTTTTCTTTCGTTTTTGTTGGCAAGCTGCCATAAGGTATAATTTCCTAACCTGTCTCCTCAGAGTTACATTGTGCCATCCGTCCCAAAACACCCTCGGTGTATCTTACAGCTGTAAATGTCATTGCCTACTTGCGGCTAAAATTTAAAACTACGCTGCGTGAAAAAACTGAGAGGCCAAGGACCTCTTGCTCTTCTTTACTTCCGTCTTCTGTGGTTTAACAAATTCACTGTTACATCAAGGTTTCTGCATGCTTTCCAGACTCAAATGTTAGACAAGCAGATATTAGAAAGAAGACCGCTTAGAAACCAATGAGCATACATACTATTCATGACTTTTGCTTAAGGATTCATTCGCTACTGACTGACTTCTGTGGAACAACAATGCACAACCTTACAGCAAGCAGTCTGTTATTGCTATTGTTGGCAGGACCATAAACTGCTAACTAATTTATGTACACTGAAGTTTCAAATTAGGCCTTAGTCCCTCTGTAAAAAATGCCCCGGTAGGCTTGCAGATTCACACAGATTCAACAAAATCTAGGGAGTTTAAAGGAGGCACAAAAGTCCAGACTGCTGTAGGAAACAACCTGACGGGCCACTTGAAGGCCCAGCATAAGCACATGCAATGAATGGAGGATCATAGTTCATAATTCACAGTGTTTTCCTCAGAGACTTGACTGAGTGACAATTTTAAGCATTTAAACACAGCATGACATATATTACTCATGTCATGCAAAGCGTTGTGTACAGAAACACTGAGGAACACTGTCAATGCTTATGTTCCTTTTTCCTCTCTCAACTACATCTCCTAATACTACCAATGCATTTTAAAACAACACATTGGAAGAAGCGGGGGGGAAGCAGCAAAGAGGCCTGGATTTTAGTAGTTTGAAAACAAACTGGCAATTGGCATAGTCTAAACAGTTATTTCCCTATGCTGGTATTCTCAGGTCATAATAAAGGACGAGCTTTCCTGCAAATATTTCACATTATGTTAAAGACACATATGTAAATCTGGTTTCCTTGTAAAAACATTTCAGACATTCTTCTGGTGTACGAATACAGCTATTGTTCCCAGAGCACGAAAACAAGAACACATCTGCAAACATCTATGACGTACTGCTTTGCTTCATTCATAAGTACTTTCATTAAAATCAATAGGACTTCACAGCCTCTGTTCATATGAACTGCAACACGTAAAAGACTGGGGCCATGGTAACAGATTTCAGTTAATGGGACTAAAAATCTTACACTGTAAGCTGCACGCTTCATGTGCTGTTTCGGACAAAGAATTTCCTGTAGGGTCTAAGTCTAAACATTTAGATAATTTACCTCCAATTATCAATATTATATATTTAAAAAATTCCATAAAAAGCCTAAAGGAAAAGCTAAAAAGGAACTTCAGTTTGAGAAAAATCACTCCTAGAAGATTTACTGGAATGGCAATTTACTTTTCCGGAAAGAAAAAAAAAACGGCCACTGCAAAGTCACCTATTCTTCAGCTTCTTATTTACTAGCCAAAACAAATGCAATAAAAATTGCCAAGTCTTTTGTGTAGTGAAAGTGAAACGAAAATTCTGATCTTTCATGCCTTGGGGTTTTTTTGTTTGTTTGTTTGTTTTGTTGTTGTTGGTTTGGGGTTTTTTTTAAGTCCCCAAACACTTATCTCAGCTGACTTTGAGCATCAGAACTTTCTACACCAGGAAACA